ACCTCCTTCCTTCTCTCTCTCTCTCTCTCTCTCTCTCTCTCCCCTCTTCCTCCCTCCCCCTCATAATTTCGTTTTGCCGCGCCGTCAAAATCCGAAAATTTACGCAATCGAAATTTTCCCTCTGCGCCGCGCGCAAAGTTGAAATCGCCACGTTGAAAATTACTTTACCGGCGATAAGCGGGCCGAAGCTATTTCGACTGACGACCTAAATGGCTATAAGAGGTCAGCGCTCGCAATTCCACCTCGTCGACGTCAGGGCGATTGCACGTAATAGGTGCGCCGGAAACGCTTGCTCGAATCGATCTCGACCAAAAACGATGCTAGTCAGAATTATGATACCGCTCTCCAAATATGGAAAGCATCGACGCAGGACGAGCGCAAATAGATGCGATAGCATTGGTAGCTGAAGCTATTACGATTTCAAAGTGATATCTCACTTCCCTTCCTTCCTTCCTCTCTTTCCCCCTTTCTCCCTTCTCTTTCCCCATCCTCTTTTCTTCTTCATCTCGAAGGATGCTTAATTAAGCTACGGAAATGCCCCGTAGTTGCACGTAAATGGACGTTACGAGGAGATAGCTCGGGCGATTGGAAAAGTTTCCACAATTTTTTCAAAGTTATCTCGCGGGCTGCTAATCAACTTCCTTTAACTGCCTTAAGCCGACCATCTCGCCCGTCGCCCGGGCAAGAAGGGATTTTTCAGATTCGTTTACGTTACTCTGGGTACGATCGATACATCGATAAATTCGACGCGAGATCGAGAACGGTCTGTAAAAACAGATATCCTGAAATTCGACAATATATAATATATCGTGCCACGCTCGCCGCGATGCAATAAATGTCATTCAGTGTAACGACTATGTCGCGTTGCCAAGGGCGCACTCTCGCGTTCGTCCCACGCCCCCTCCCCCCTCCCCCCTCCCCCTCTCCCCCGCCCACCTCCTTCGTACATTCGCCGAACGATCGGTTATCCAACTCGAGGTTTCGTTTCTTCGGGCAAAGTTCAAGTACATACGTTTCTCTGGCTCTGGTTGCAGACATGAGCATCCTTCTCTTTAACGGCTTCCTATTGATGGGCTTCGTCGTCGCCACGGTGCCGGACGGCTTGGTGCTGGGCTTGCCGGGCCCGACGCAACTCGCGGGCTGGGACACCGCGGCGAAGAGGTGCCGATACACCAGGTCCTACTCGATGCTGGAGGCGTCCTGCTCGAACCTGGAGTGGCAGAGTATCCCGACGAACTTAAAGTCGGACATACAGGTAAGCTCCCAGTACCACGTAATAATAATAATAATAATAATAATAATAATAATCTCGTGAAATTGAAGTAAGAACAGTTATATATTTAGTACGGTCGGGACACCTTATCTTTCCGTACCGAATGTATTACCTCTCTTTATTATCTGCAACAATTTCTATAAAACAGAAGCTAATAAAAGAGTTTACGATAAGCTACTCTGAAAATTATGGCAATAAAGCCTTTTATTTCCTCCTCTCCTCTCCCTTCTCTCTCTCTCTCTCTC